ACCCGGGATCGAATCCCACGTCAGGCTCCCGGTGCATGGAGCCTGCTTCTCCCTCTGCCTATGTCTCTGCCTCTCTCTCTGTGTGTGTGTGTGACTATCATAAATAATAAAAAAAATAAACAGGAGGAGTTTAATACAAAGACTTATTAACCTACCATAAGGGTAACTATAGGACATAAGAAAAATTGATACTGTATCCTAGGGCTGAGGGAGAGTATCCAAGAAAGGACAAATTTGGAAAGGGGTCTTGATCTCCAGGGCTAGGGTTCAGATCTTGTTGATGATGTAGCTGGCAGCCTACTGGATGGCAGAGAAGTTTCTTGGCTGACCTGAGCTAGACACAGTCCTCAGTCCCTGGGCAAGCAGGAAGTAACCATCGGAATACAGTAGAGCTGTCAGGATGCAGACCAGCCTCAGCTAGTGGGGATGCAAGGGCACACAGAGAGAGCAGGATCCCCAGTGGTGACCCCCCAGGGAACCAGTAGGGCTACTGCCAATGGTCAGGTACATAGTCACGTAGAAGACTAAGGGTGCCATGGCAGGAGGCCTATAGCATGTGGATACCTGTCAAGAGGGCCGGGCATCAGAAGGGCCAAGAAATATAAACCTGGGAGGGCCATAAGATCAAAGGGAATCAGGGTATGGGTATACGGAGCCCTGGAATTCATGGTGTCCAGGTTGAGATGGCATCAGGTAAGTCATCACCAGACCAGGTAGCAGCTGTAAGGTCACGAGGGACCACACATTCTGGTTCTGTGGCTGGGTTAGTGCACCCCCAGATATACTCACAATCACAGCTCACATTGTTAACCCACCTCAACAACTGGAAACAGCAAGAAAGCCCCTTCCCCGGCAATGTACATCTTATACCATCTACTAAAAAGCTCAACATGTGCTCACTGTAAAGAAGGAATGCCTGAAAGGGTTTTGTCCATTGCTGCAGAGCATGTACTGAAGGGTAGATTTGGAGCTGAGAGGCAATATGTTGGTAAATGGCACAGCCTATCCCTTTGGTTACGCTGCTTCCATCTGCATCCCTCTACATACATTTGAACTCTTATAACAGCAAAACAACAATTTCTAACTAGAAATTAGTGTATCTAGATACACCAATTTTTTTTAATGTTTTCACAGTTCTCTCAAATTAGATGACTCAGAGTCCCAAGTCATTGGTATCCATCATGAGCTTTATTAATTACTCAACTGCAGGAAGGCACCCATTGAATATTATTACCTAAAGGCTAAATTGTAAAGTTAACCTCCAATAACTGTGCATAAAATATAGGAAGCAGGATAGAGAAAAAGAGTAGTGAGTATAGACAAACAGACACATACATAGAAAATCTGCAAAGCTATTGGAGCCCTTGTTTCTATAACTGGTCTCAAGGTATTCTTCAATGACCACTTTCAAATTTCCCTCACCGTTGGCCAAAACCATAGGCGCTTTGGTGGAGAGACCAAAACCATTTCCCCAGTGTCTGAGTCCTAAATTGGTCTGCTTTTGTTGTTGTTGTTGTTGTTGTTGTTGGGACAAAATGGTTTTTCATTGACTTTACTATGAGTAGGCAGAGTAAGGGCCCCACAAAGATGTTCATATTCTAATTCCTGGAGCCTGTAAATCTATTATTATAAAACAAATGGGAATTAAGGTTGCTAATCAACTGACTTGAAAGTAGGGAGATTGTCCTGGATTATCTGCTTGGGCCAAGTGATTGTTGTGGATTACCAGATTGGGCCAGTCTCACCATGATTCTTAAAAGTGGAAGAAGGAGGCAGGAAAGGGAGAGCCAGAGATGGTAGTGTGAGGACTCAGCCTGATACTGCTGGTTTAGAAGGTAGAGGAATGAAGCCATGAGCCAAAGAATGTGGGGAATTCCCTAGAAGCTAGGAAAGGCAAGGAAATAGATTTTGCCTTCAGAGCATCCAGAAGGACTGTAGCTCTGCCAACATCTTGATTTTAGCCCAGTAATACCCATCCTGTACTCCTGACTTCCAGACCTATAAGATAGGAAGGTTGTGTTTTAAGTCATTAGGTTTGTGGTAATTTGTTTTAGAAGCAAAAGAAAACTAATACACTGTCAAAGAAAGTTTTCACATCCATGGACTATTTAGAAATGTGACCTGGGCAGGGGGGGCACCTGGGTGGCTCAGTCACTTAAGCATCTGCTTTCAGCTCAGATGATGATCTCAAGGCCCTGGGATTGAGTCCTGCTCAGCGGGGAGTCTGCTTCTCTCTCTCCTTCTGTTGCTCCCTCCTACTTATTTGTGCACATTCAAGTACTCTCTCTCTAACAAATAAATAAAATCTTTAAAAATATAATAAAAACAGAAACCTGACCTGGGGGCGCCTGGGTGGCTCAGCTGGTTGTGCATCCAACTCTTGATTTCTGCTCAGGTCATGATCTCAGGGTTGTGAGATCAAGTCCATGTCGGGCTTCACACTGAACATGGAGCCTGCTTAAGATTCTCTCTCCCTCTGACCCTCCCCCCCGCAACAAATAAATACAATCTTTAAAAAAAAAAAACACCTGATCTGTAAATTAGAGAACTAGTTAAAATTCATTAATAAGTAACAGTTACTGAGTCACTTAAAAATTATTCTAGTCTTTTATTAAAACAACAGTATAGCAGGCAAATAGTGTATACAGCACTTGGACTTTCTTCTCACAGGACAATGATGGATTCCAGCCATGCCATCTGTCCAGGAGGACAGATCTTCCCTGTCACAGATATCCCGACCCTCTTCTTCACCTTTTGACTTAGCCTGCATTCTGGAAGTGCTACGTGCTAACAAGCAGCATATTCAGGATGTCTAATACTCTACACTCCACACATTTCTAAATCTCAAAACTACTGTCATCTTCATTTTCCTTTCCAAGCAAAATCACTTTCACTCACTCTTTACTAAAACTCTTGCTTTCATTGCCTATGCGACTGAGCTCCAACTGAACTCTTCTAGAGAAGAGAATCCCAAAATTGCGAAACAAAACTGTAATTCCTCTCCTCCAAGTGTAACTCCAGCCTTATCCTTCAAGCACTGCAACTGCTGAAGTACTATGCAAGTTGAACACATTTCTCATCATTGCGTCTGTGGCACTTTCTTTCATGAGACTGATTAATTCCATCTAGAAAGCGCCCCCTCTCGCATCTGCCTCAGTAATCTCCAGGTCTCATTCAGACCTCCTTCTTGATACACCGTGTTGTGAACAATAGAACTCCTTAACTTTCCAATCTGGTTTTCCCTTTTGAGGGCATTTTCTAATCTTCTTACACTACTGTGTTCCAGCTTACCTCTTTAGGGATCTCTGGAATTAAAAGCATCAACAAGCTGTTGGATGAATACAACCATAACAAAAGCATACTCCATACACAAGGGGGAACACACCTGTGCTAGTAAAGGTAGAACCAAAAATTCAGTCCCTCTGTGTCCTGTGAGAAAGCCTTTTAGCATGAGTAATCTATAAGTAATATATTCCTAACAAAGGTGCAAGGTGTTACAGGTTCACTGCCTCAGAGGTGAGAAAACGCTAGGTGACAGAGATGGCACCTACATACTATCAGAACTCCAAATCCCTAAATCGCATGGAGTTCTGACAGAATATGACCACCTCGGGATCCATGAGGCTTTAATCCCTGAAGCAGATCATCTCCAGGCACAAATTTTATGACACTGTATTAAACAGGCACAAGTTTTATAACATAGTATCAATAGGTGCAAGTTTTATGACATTGTACAAAATCAGTAATGAGTAAGACTTACAAATCCTACAAGGCCACTTTAAAGTGTACGCTATTTATTCCTTAAAGGAATAAAGCCAACTTTGCTAAAAGATATGGAGAAATAAAAGAAATCCAGAATTAGTCTTATAATGTTGAATGCAGAGGATTGTTCAAGGATTCAGATAAAGTCTGAATGAGACCTTTGAGGCAAAGCAAGTGTCTCTCTGAGAAGACCAGAATGACCAAGAACAGCTTTCTAGGAAAAAGGAAAAAATGGGTCAGTTTCTTAAGGGCAAATAAGTTCTCCATCCTTACAGTTTGAGCTTGATGGTTATATACTTTCATGCCCCTTTGACATTGAGGAAAAGGAGGAGTTTAAGAAACAATTTGGAGACTTGACCCAGTGTTATAGTCTCATTTGCGTATTCACAAAGGATTCATTGAGTTACCCGCTTAATTTACTATTTATTGATAGGACCACAGCAACTGTTTTTTTTTTTGTTGTTGTTGTTGTTGTTGTTGTTTTGTTTTTTGATTGCTAGGACCTAAGCAATTTGTGTTCTTGTTTTTGTGGGTTTTTTGGTCAGGACTTCAGAAACTAACTTTTTTCATCAAATCACTGAGTATGATCAGAAAAGTGATTTCTGTGTGTGTGTGTGTGTGTGTGTGTGTGAGTTATGTTTTTATAAGTTTCTGAAGGAAAGGCATTCGTGAATATAAGAAACAAAAAGCATAATGAAACCCCTTTAGAAATATAAATCATTCCAATATACAACAGCAAAATCCACCAAGATATTCTGACACACTACAGTAGCTCTCCAAATTTCTCAAGCATTAGACAATCTCTATCAAATTGCTGTCCCAACCTGTCCCCACCAGAGTTTCTGCATTACTAGGTATGTGGTGGGACCTAAGAATCAAGAATCTGCATTTCTAAAGAGGTTTCTCCATGCTCCTAATGCTGCTGGCTCAAAGGCTGCATTTAAAATCCACTACACTAAAAATAAAGTAAAATAAAAATAAAAATCCACTGCACTAGAATATGGAGAGCACAATTGTAGTCTACTAGAAAAGAACGTTTATCAGGTGGAACTGTGGTATTGAAGTGTCTGTATTAGGGTTAGGAATGGAGATTTTTCCAAGTGTTTCTGCTTGAACTCTGGTCCTGAATGCCAACTACCTCTTCATCTTTGGCTAGAGTTCAGAGTTTTTCTTCCATGGAGGAAGTGGTAGCCAATGAGGCAATCAAACAGATGTGTACAACCAGGAGTCCATCCCACTTATTTCTCCTGAGGGATCTCCCTTGTTTCTGTGCTCCGAGACTGGGAGTTCTCTTCCCTTTCCAACAGCTCTTCGAATATCTCATTGTGCATGTAAAAGAAGATGTACCCGGTGCAAAGTCTGGCCTCCTGCATCAGAGCTTCTTGGATACTTGATACCTGGAGATCATTGTATGTGAACCACACTTGCCTCTCAAAGTCATAGGCATCACTGATATAATGGCCTGAATTTGGGGTCTTCCCCAGATGGCTGACAACACCAATGAGCCGATAGGCATAGCGATCATTCACCTTCGCATTTCTTTTTGATTTCTTGGCTTTAGTTTCTGTCTTCTCCGTATCTAAAACTTTATTGTTTCCAGGGTTTTCAGTGGAACACGATGCACCTTGGGAATTTACTCTGGCCTGCTGGGGACCTAGGTTTGTGGGTCTCCTGAGGTTCTGCATGTACCACTGAGCATCTGGCTTCAAAAGGATCTGAAGCAGTGCCTGCTGAAGGGCTTGTTCGTAGATCCTCATTGCTTCATGCTGCTGTGTCCGTTCAGCTGCTTTTTGGAATTCTGTTTTTTTTGAAATTTTGGGTTTTTTACCTTCAAAAAAGTCTTCGAGGATCTTAGCAACACTCTCAAAATCTACAAACATGTCAGTTTTGTCGTATTTCTTTTGCTTTAGATTTTCAGATGCTTCTTGAAGATAGGCTTCAGCCAGGTGTATTTCTGGACTACTGGTGGGTTTACCATCTTTGTCATGGATCAGAGAAGGGGACACTGCTTCCAGATCCATCATTAAGCCAGCAAATAGCTCTTTTTCAATGAGTGCTCCATTTCCTAAGTTCAGCAATTTGGACTCTGTTATATTCTGTTCAGAGCTTTTGCCTAGGTCCTTTTTCTGTTGTTCTCTGCTGGACCCGTCATAGAAAATCTGGCATTTCTGTGGTTCAGACCCTTTTCCTGATCCAGCATGCGGAACTGGGGAATCACTGGATGCCGAAGCCAACTTTGATGAAGCTGCTGATGGACAGATGGTGCCAGCACTCATTTTCTGAAAGAGTTTTAGGATTTGGAAGTCCCTATTATGCGCGTTCTTGCTCACAGGAAAAGGTGGTTTCGTACTTTCATTACAATGAGACGATAATTTTAGATACTTGGAAATAACAACTTCCTGATCATCCTTCCTTAGCGACCAAAACTCGTTGAAGATATAACGTTTCAGGTGAACAATAAGAACCCTGGGGAGCCTACTGAATTTGTGCACTGCAACAGAACTCTTGTGCTGACATTTCTCACATCTGTACTCAAGTTCTTCTGCTCCGAAGAAGAGATCAAAGGCTGACTGAATAGACAAAGGAAGTGCTTTCATTCCCCGGGGTAGACTGATGGATAGATAATTACTCACTTCCGTCTTCAAAATTACCTGACCACATGCTTGACAAATAATAGAGCGCAGCAACTCAAACTCAAAATTAGTGATGATGGGACAAATGAGTACTCTGGTGGTACCACTGCCAGCAAAGACCTGTTGAGCTGAATTGTCCTGCTCAGATTCAATTTTCATTTTCCAAAGTGTGTTTATTTTCCCCATGTTCTCTTTCATCTGATCCAAAAAGTGACCTAAAAACTCATGAGCATCATTTTGTATATTGCCAGAGAATATCTCTGCAACTGTTGAAATGGCCTTTTTAATATTTACAAGTAACCTCTCCTTGATTTTTATGTTATAAATATTTTTCAAAACAAACAGCTGTGCCAAGCACATCCTAAGAGCATCAAGGGGAATTTTACCCCACGGGAAATCCTGGCTGAATAAATCATCAGCAAATGATGGAATGGAAAATAAAGACTGTAAAACGGCATTCATGTAACAGGTGTTTCCCAAATTGGGGAGGCCTTGCCATAGTTTCTCTGGGTAGAAGTTGAAGGTCATCTTGAGTTTGTCCCACTCTGGGTCATCTGCATTATACCTTGGTTCCAACAGAAATGTCAAATATATTTTCTCAGAGAGCATCTGAAGAAGACTTTTGCCATCTAGGCAAGGCTCTCCAGGAGAAATGGACTTGAGTAAGGGCTCAAATTCTAATTTCTGATTCTTTTTTAAGAGTTTTAACCTCAGTTTTTTCTTCTCGTCATGACTTACATACCTCAAGGGGTTTGTCTGGGATTTCTTCTTTCTCACAGAGTTACTCTTTTTTGGTATTTTCCCACTCATCTCTGAGCCAGATGATAGCATCTTTTTCTTCTTCCCATCTCCACTCTCTGGTAAATCTTTGCAAATAAGTCTTGATGACTTTGATGTAAACAAAGGCATCTTCTGAAGGTCAGGTGTTCCACTTCCTTCTCTTGTCTCAAAAGATCCACTACCTGGCTTCTTGCATTCTCTGTGGAAGTTTTTGTTAATTTCCTTTGGTGTTGTCATGCTAGCAAAGATACCTCCATCCGTAACAGGTCTCATGGGTGGCTGAGTATTATTTTGATGGACTCTATCCAGGAACATCTTCAACTCTTTAGCATCTTTGGAAGATAATCGTTCAATAAACAAGAAGTTATTATTTTGGAAAGTTAAGTGCAGGTGATTTTGCTTTTTTCCATAGGATCTAAGGACCACACTTTTAATATTATTACTTAGCTGAAAAGTTAGATATTCTCCATTGGTGAAATAGACCACCAGTCTAATCTTCTTCTTTCCTTCCACTGTTTCAATGTATGCTTCTCTGGAGCTAGACATCCCTTTCTTCTTGCTCCATATTTGAACAAAACCACGTACCATTAGAGTAGCCATACTTTCTTTACAAATAAAATGCAAGTATCCTGAATTATTGACAATCTCAAAGTTCCAGTGTGTTTTGCAAGCTCACTTTTGGAGACAGCACCTAGAGATATTCCTTAGTTTTCTATAAGAAAGGTCCTGTTTCTAGTGTTGGTTTTATACTATTGCCTCTTCAGGTTCTGAATGTCCAGTTATTTAGTGATAAAACCAATGCTGTTCAAGAGCTGTACATGATTACATGAGGGAAGAGTCTTGATTTCCAAGGCAAGGCAGCTACTGGAAAAGAAAATCAAGAAAAATTATTTAAGCTATCATAGAATGCTTGGATAGAACTCAAATTCTACTCATACACTAAACCTCCTTTCCAATACTAGATTTTATTCTGATTAATTTCCCCACTTCAACTGAAATTATTAAACACTTGAAAGACTTTCAATACATAGCTGAAAAGCAAAATGAACAGTGTCTCAAGTGTAGGCATATAACATGCTAATCTTCCTGTCATAGAATGACCCCACAGAACAATCATAGTAAGTGAGTAAGAGAGTGGAGTAGTAGGCAGCCCTCAAACCAGTAACAGGTAAATAGCTCTTAATGTCCAGAAATATACAGGACTTCATACACAGGCCACTAAGTGTAAATCAACCTACCTCTTTCCAAATCCAGTTATGTTCCTTTCTTATATGTGGCACAGTGTGAAGTCCACACTTCTTACCCCACGTGAATACCTAACCTACCACTGCTTAAAGCAGATATCAAAGAATTGGCTGTCTCCAGCTCCAACAAGCCAAGATGACCTGGTATGCTCTAAGCAATCCTGATTCTTATGAGTGTGGGGTAATTGAAAATTTGAAGCCATGTGAAGTAAGACCATAAAAAACAATTTTGAAAGTTGGTTAAAATTATGATAGAGACAAAGTTCAAGACTGTGTTTACTATGCTTTACTATTGAACAAGCAAATGCAGGTAGTATAAACAATTTTCAAGAAACAGAATATGATGAGTGGAAAGTTTCCCATGGGCTCCAATGTTGGCTTCACTGTTCCTATGGAGGCATACCCATAGTTTCAAGGTTCGTATAATCCATGCAGAGTAAAGAATGTCCCAGGATAAAAAAGTAAACAAACCAATGGTTTGTGCCCTTTTGGCCATTATACCAGGGGTGAAACCAAGTCAGCATTAAGGGTCGTTATTAACACACATAAATTTCTTACTAAGTCCCAATTACCATTTTTTTTACCTTTCTTTTTTAAAAAGATTTTTATTTATTTATACACGAGAGACCGAGGAGAGAGAGAGACAGAGACAGAGACACAGGCAGAGAGAGAAGCAGGCTCCATGCAGGGAGCCTGACATGGGACTCGATCCTGGGTCTCCAGGATCGGGCCCTGGGCTGAGGGCGGCGCTAAACTGCTGAGCCACCGGGGCTGCCCTTTTTTAACTTTCTATTTCTTAATGCATCATCATATGGCTTAGAGGAAAACTGGTAATGCTTGACATGGATGAGTTATGTACTAGACAACACCATCTCCTGGATCACTAGTGCTGCCTTCTTCATGCCTGTAACTATGTTCACATTCACCTATCTAAAGTAGAATCACCAGTAGATTCTCTGGGTCAACTGGGCTGAGGAGAACTTTCATGAAATTCTGCGGTATAATTGGATCACCAACCCAGGCAATGGGAAAATCACATGCAACATCTTCTAGTAGGCCTTAGGTCTCATTACTCTTTTCCAGAAAATACTATCTGAACACCTTTAGAACATGTCTAGCCATCCATGGACAAGTACAAGGCATTTTCATTGAGGGTTATTTATGGGATCCGGACAGTGAGTGTGAGATCTGTGTTCCAGACTACATGAAATTAAGACTGTAAAGTAACCATTTTTATAATCAGTCTAACACAGTCCTTCTGATCGGCTAGAATCGCTTCCACTTTCTCCTCCAATTGATTATGTCTTGTAACTGACATGAAATGCCTGACACGCACTTCCCTCAAGCTAAATTAGGTCAATTTCTTGAAATAATCCCATCTCTCTACTCCACAGGTGCCTTGCCTACTAAAACCACAAATGAAATAGGTATTACAATAATTTAGGTGTACCGAATTTACCCGACTCAGGTCATTTTTGGCCTGAGAACTTCACAGCCATCCATTCTGAACCTTATTCGAAGAACTCTCCAAACAAGCTCTGAGGCTTTGCAAACACATCACTCATGAAGGCATCCTAGCACCTTTGAATTAGTTTCGAAAAGTGATAAATCTATAACCCTAATTCTTTACATATTAACACTTCCAAACACGCACTGCCTGCTTTGGAACAAGCCAGATACCTCAGGAGATGCTGCTCAGGATCCTGTAGGGCCCCTGACATCATCCTAGCAGAAGGTAAGTAAAAGCAAACAGTCAGACAGCAAATCACTGATGTAGGAAAAGAGAAGTCCCCATCAGGTTACAAGGAACGGCACCAGGACAGTGCACTAAGATCACCACAACCTACGTATAAGAAGTCAAAGTAGAATGGAAAACTTAACCTACCACTAAGTGCCCTAAAATATTACAGGAAAAGATCAATTTTTAAAAAGCCCCACCATGGGCAATTCTACTTGTCATTCTGTATCAACTGCAAATTACACATGATCAAAAAATACAGCCAAACATCCCAGCTTCCCAAAAATGTCTTGAACATCCTATGTGAACACTCACTAAGCTTATGAGATTGTGTTCAAGGCAAGGACAAACTCTTGAGTACTAAGTAAAGAAACCACTCCCCAAACCCTAAATGTTCTAAGATGACATTAAAATTGACTTTAGGTATAGTACTAACAACCAAGACATCATCTATTGGCGATGAGCGTTTCTCTCTAAAATAGAATGGATTCTCCCAATACCCACCAGTATCTGCCCATTGGTACTGAGCACTGTACATGTATGTCTAAGAAAAGACAAGGGTTAGTGATCCTCCTGATAAATATTTACCATTAGACCAAGCTGAGACCTTATTCTATGAGGTATCAGAGATCAATGTGCTGTTGCCTCCCGCACCTTACTTCTTTCATACTTAGCTCTCCACAGTACGCACCAGTGACTCCAAAGAAGAAGTTACATTAGTTAAAAAAAAAAGTTGTATTAGTGACTAGCATCCCACTGACACCATGGTCAACTCCAGAGTATTGGGCTCACTGATAAAAGTAAATCTAAGAATTTCTTGTCCATTGTATGTAGGCTAGAGAGGCTCCTATGGCCAGTTTTGGCCACAGGGTCCACATAATCTGAAATAGCTCTCCATAACTCAAAACTAGCGAGGAAAGATCAGTTATACTTAATCACTAAAAATTAAAATTTTCGGAATAACTCAATAGGGGACCAATCTTTAAGCAAATAGGTTAGCACTTAGCACTACAAATGTTTGTATCAGAAGGCATATGCCAAAATTGATGGGAGGCTGTATTTTCTCCTACACAAATACTCTTCTTAAATCTTGTCTGTGTTATTAACTTGCTCAGCAAACCCTGTCGTTATGGATAATGCTAAAGGAAACTTCTGCTTGGTCCCTGCCCAAATTATCAAAAACTCAACATTGATGGAGAATAAGTTAGTGAGATTTTTGTTTTATTAAGTATTTATCTATCAAGCTCTATTCAGTGAAGTAGGGATTACACCCATCCATGCACAAAAGTGCATATGCATCCAAGTGAGAGAATGATCATATTTATCATGGTGGAAATGGAGCCATAAAAACATTCAAGCACAACAATAGATTCAAAGTTGTCTGTATTATTTATAGTTCAATGTCTTACTGTAGATGCTAAGTAAGAGTTTAACTATTTCCTTTACACACACACACACACACACACACACACACACAAAACCAAAAGCTTCGTATCTTCACTGTGCCTCTTTCAACCACTTGAGAGAACCTACAACCCCAGAACAACTTCCAGGCTGCATGCAAAAATTTTGCAATCCCAGTTGATCTGTATTTATCAATGATTGTTGTCTGTTCTTTCTAATGAAATAATCTAAGACCCTCATGGAATTTCCACTCTCTGCCTTCAAGAGTGCAGTTAAGAGACATGTGTTTCCAAAAATGATGTCTCCACTCATCACGCTTTGTTCACAGTTCAATGTGCGTATATTTCATTCCAGAATAAAGGCATCTTCTTTGAGCCCACTGAAGAGGGAAAGTGCAGATTAGGAGCCATCTTGTTGATGGACAGCTGAGGAGTCTAACCACTGCTCATTTTCCCCAGCTAGCACATCTCAAGTTGAAATCCTCTTTGTGATTCTGCCTTGTCACTGAAAGGCTTTTAGGGCTTCTTTGCTCATTTTTAGAAGATTTTAAACAAAAATGTATCTGTTTTCCATGTCTCCACTGAAGAGTGCTATGTGACTCCTCTATGCAGATGAAACTAGGCTTTGGCAATAGTGATATTCCAGCTCCATTCCAAAGCTGTTAAAGCCAAAGTGTTTTTCTCTCATTTTACCCACAAACTCAGTCCATTCCATTTGACTGGTTACCTACTAGTGGTACAACACACAAGCCTAGCTGATCTCAAAGCACGGCCAAAAACTCATAGAGCTGCACTATTCTTGTCAGATTGGAGGCATCACCTCTAGTATCAAGAAGATGGCTATGAGGTTAAAAACTCCTGGTAGAAATGTCCGCTTCATAGTTCACTTATTAATTCACTTTACATTGATCTCCTTGGTCACTGAACTTGCTGAGCATCTGCTCTATGCTGCAGATTATGCTTCTTGAGTGTCTGCTTTATGCCATATATTGTGGCCAGGGCTCTCAGGGACACAAAGGATGTGAGTATTCACTGTACCTAAGCAATTTAGATTGTAAACGTCATCCTGTACACATTATAATTGAAAAGGGCCTTGCTTCTGGTAGGGACAAAGGATCTGGGAAAATATCTTTTCACTGCCATTTTCTAGAGCTTAACACAAAGTCAGGGTGGGAGCAGTGTTTTGTGAAAAAGAGGATCTTCTGGAGTAGAGAT